CACACACACACACACACACACACACACACACACACACACACACACACACACAAACACACACACACACACACACACCCGCGCGCGCGCACACACACACCCACACACACACACACGCACACACGCACACACGCACACACGCACAAACACGCTCGTACTCACGGTCATGCAGGTGCCCACCGGTGCACTCGTGCACATATGCACGCACACCCCGATGAGCAACAGTCAGAACGGGCCGAAAATGAACGAAAGCTGAAGATACAAACAAACAAATCTTTTTTTTCCCCACCCATTTCCTCCTCCCACCCCTTGCGGTCGACTTGGGACCAGTTCGCTTTGGGACCAGTCTGCTTGTTCTGGGTCGATTGCGATTGATGTATTGGGAACCCCTACCTAAATCAGAGGTAATTCGCTGACTAGCTTAGCACTTAGCACTTAGCGCCTTTGTCCGCGCATGAGCAGTGATGCAGTCATCTGATTGGTTGCCTTCTATGTCAATCAAGTAATGGGATTGATGATAGGCTGACGTAGTACGTTCTGTGTATTTAGCGCCTTCGTTTGATTGGCATCGCCACTGCCGAGGCGTTTTCGACGCTTGTCGTGTGAAAGCCCGGACCCCCCGCGACCCTAGTGAGGATTAAGCGGTTCGGAAAATGGATGGATGAATAGTAGCCTTATCGGGGTCAAGGTATGACAGTGTCACCCCACTGCCTTTTGACGCCAACATTTCAGTCGTGACTGACACCAGTTCGCTGCTGGTGCTTGAAGGATGAGACAAAAGCAGTTTCAGCATTCGGTTGAGTGACTCTTCGCCTCGCCAAGCAATACTCACCTGCCACACTGATGATGAGCAGCAACCAAGCTGACAGCAACGTGCCGATGAAATTTCTGTCAACTCTGCTTCGTCTTCTGAACTCAAGATGTCATCGCGTGACTGAAGCTCCTCCCTGATCACGTGAGCCCACGCCCCAAACTGCCTTTTACTTTTACAGGACTGTGGATCAGGCAACTTCCAAAGATTCCAGGTGACGTGCCTTGCTAGACATGCACACTTTTCCAGGAAGACAGAAAAAGTGAAAAAGAGCACACTTTCCTCTCATTTCGCTATTTTTACTTGATCTGATGTGGTCATTTGGTCCGAATCAAAGGGTGTCATTCGTCGTGAGTACAATGAAGTAAGCACAAATCTACTCACCACCTCAGAATTGTCTTCATGCCAAGAGAACGGAAGGTTGGAGCTGCCACTGTGTTCATTTTTTTTTTTAAATCATAATGTCACTGGGTAAGCGCATGCACAAGTCAACAGCCCATGGCAATTATGGGAAATAATGAGAATAAAACATTTTATTTACAAGCGCCTTTCAAAACACTCAAGGACACTTTACAGTCAGGAACGAGAACAATAAAACCACAGATGAAATTATAAATAATAAAAGAAGAGGTGAATTTAAACTCAGTATGTGATTTTAAATTGGTGGGTTTTGAGATGGGATTTGAATGTGGGAAGAGAATCAATATTTCGGATGTTGGGTGGAAGTGAGTTCCAGAGTTTGGGGGCAGAGTGGCTGAAAGCTCTGCACCCCATCGTGCTGAGATGGGCAGAGGGGACCCCAAGGTGGCTTTAAATGTAAAGAGAAGTGTGTGGAAATTGTAGAACTCGAAGAAAGCGACAATTTCTCACGTGCGCACTCCGAGAGAGAGTGAGTCGTGTTTTTTTTATTAGCACACCAAAAAAACACTCGCGCCAAACGAAGCCCGCCGAAAGTCAGTTTCCATAGAAACAAGCAGACTAAAATGGCGGTCCTTAAAGGGACTGCAATTATTTCTACCCCGTTACCAAATAATCGTGAACTCTCTGACAAGCATATGAACACTGCATTCACACATTTGCAGTTGGTGGTGAATTATGTACATAGAAGTCACTACAAGTGTTTTGTAATTGATTGAAGTTTGTCAGGGAGCCAGTGGAGCTGTTGCAGGGTCGGGGTGATGTGATGAAAGGAGGGGGTTCTCGTGATGATCCGGAAGAGTTCTGAACCAGTTAAAGTTTATGGAGGAATTTGTGATGGACACCGAAAAGAAGTGAATCACAATATTCATTGCGGGAGGTGACAAGACTGTGGACAAGGATAGAGGTGGTGTGAGGGGTGAGAAGAATTTTAATTGATTTAATCTTTGGACGTACTGGCATTCTAAAACAGGCAGGACAGTGGCTCTCGAGGACCAGAGTGTAGTCCAGGGGTGGGTTTTTTGGCTCGGGGGCCACATTGACTTTTAAAATTTGACAGAAGGGCCAGGTCAGCACAAGCTGTGGTACATATTAAAAAAAAAAAATAACTGCATTTGTTGACAGTCCATATCAAACATCAACAGAACAAAAGCATAAAAGTATTAACATACTTTTTTAATGAGAGCAGTGTTGTTGATCACCTATTTTAGCCAGTGCATTGCTGCAGATGGGTTGTGATCTGACCAGTAGAAGTAGAGCGATCCAGTATTTTGTAGTTAAGGAATCATATTTGCGGTGTCCAATCTTTCCTTATAACAGAATTTCCTTCTGTGGGAAACAACTACGTTACATGTCCTGTAGGAACGTCCAAGTATGTAAACAACATACATGTGTGATAACACAAGCAACAAAGTGGAACAATATATTGCCCAAAAACTGTTTATAACACAAAAACTGCAGTATACACTACAGGTATATGAACAAAATACAGTATAAAAAATTAGGACTACTCGCTACAAAATGAGACTTGTATCAGATCTTGGTAGCTTTATTTTCCACTCACTTACTGTCTCTAACTTGACCACCCCTCGATCAGCACCCAAGACAGCGTTGCTCAGCTGATTTCGTGCAACCAACTTTTGAAGCAAGCCACGAAACGCTTCGAAGTCCTCGATGGCCATAGTTAGTGCTATGGAGCTTGCCTTCTCGTTTATCAGCGGTCCAGTTTGCGGAAGGTTTTTACCACGATAACAGTCAAACCATTCCAGGAAACGTTCATTGACTCGACTGTCTGTTGAGCCGTAAGCAATTCACTCTGAGCAGGGAAATTGCCAGAATCGGACTGAGAAAAAAAAAACGCTTCCTTGTTTTTCAAAGTCTCTAGATTGGAGTCTTTCCGACTCCAACGTCTCCTGAATGTTTCGTACTTTGTAACCCGCTTCGTTTAATCTGATACATATCACTTTCTCTTCCGCGGTCAATACTGTTCCTCTTCGTTTGGATGCCATGATCTACAGGACGTAAATGTAAATGAATGAAATGAACAAACGTTTGCCATTCCAGTAAAACTCACTGCAATAAAGAGTCACTTACATGTCGCCGTTTTGGATCCAATGATAGAAAATAACTGCGGCACAGACACAGTTATTCCGTCATATCGAGCGGGAGTTGCTTGAGTTGGCGTTACTGCGGGCTTCCATACGGCTTCTGGAACTTCCATAAATCGATCGTTAATGTAATATTGTTCCGCCCTCGCCGCGTCCCCGATGCGGCTAGACAGACAGATAACTCCTTCAATGAGCACACCGTTGATATTTCTTGCGGTTTATTCACCAGCGAGTCAAGGAAACAATGTGCCCCACTGGTCCGACACGTAACGAACGCGTGGCTACGCTAGTGTAGCTAACGCTAATGAGCTAATACGCTAATGTGCTAATCGCTGTGCATAAATGCGAACTAAACAATAGAAACGCCCCACAAATGTAAATCCACGGTGAACACACCCCACGAATTAATAATATGGCATACATTTACATAAAATATTTACATACAGGCTGTGCTTGGCCTACGACACGAAGATGAAGTCCATCGTTGGGAGGTTCCCCGTGCAACGTTAAACCGGAAGTGTCTCACTCCACAACGTCCGGTGTGCCCTTCACAATAATGAATTAACCTTACAAAATAAAGCAGCTCTGTAGTTATAGAAAATAGGAAACAAATATAACATGGCTCTTCAGGAGCCAGAACACTTCCCACCTGACATCTAGAAGATGTCACTCTTAACCACCAAAACTAATTCTGCTGTATAACATCACCCCACCTGACATCAAAGGATGTCACCCTTAACCACGAAAACTAATTCTACTTTATAACATCAGACAAAAGAAGCACAAAAGAAGCACAACATCAGTTACTGGTCTCAGGTAAACTTGAGCATTACCGTGTTTGACCACTTTGACTTCCATCTTTTTGTCATAGCCATCACTGCTGAGATAACCTTCACGATGAGTAACATCGGCCATTGGTTCCCCACTGTCAGGGGATCCCCGAGCAGGATGACATCCCCCGGTTGAAGACCGGGTCCTGCAGAATGCCACTTCCGTTGACACTGCAGAGTTGAAAGGCAATCCCCTCGCCAGTGATGCCAGAAAAGGTTCGCCAAACTCCAGACCTGACTTCACTGCTGCCGGCGGAGGTCTTTCTCCTCAAAGTCGCCTGAAGGAAGCGCCGTGACCTCATGAGAGAGGCGTTGAGGTTCAAGTTGAGCAAGTGGACAGTCTAAGATCCTTCGTGGGGTCCCTATCATCAGCTCCCAATTGTTTCCCATGCTGGAGAAGGCCTGCATCTTAGATGATTTGAGGCAAGATGGCGGCGCTTGGGAAACAGCTGTGAGCAAAAGACGAATCTCTGTATCCGTTTCAAGGTCTTGTAGTTGGAAGGTGTCGCTTTTGTCGATCGCTGTAGGCTTCAATAGAAACTCAGTGTTGAAGTCCCTGAGCCCGTTTGTTAAATCTTCCTTGGGAAATGCTGCCATGATGTTTGGACTGTCTGAGGCTATTTTGTGAAGACTTAAGTTGAAAGCAGCAAGCAGTTCTTGAGTGTCTTTAAGAAGCTTGGCTGTCTCTGAATCAGTGGGAACGTAGAAATGTCTTTGTACAAACTGCTTGGCTTCGAGTGATGGGGCTACCCTTTCATCATTCTCAGTTTGTTGAAGTTGAAACACATAGTCCTCTTTTTGACGTGCAGTGCGAGTGGCCTGTGGCTCACTGGGTACCTGGAAATGTTCCTTGACATGGAAACTATTCTGGCAGGGTGGTAGGAGACTGGGACGCCTGTCTTGTAGAACAGTAGTTCTGTCAGTGGCTACTCTGGGAGGTTTGTGAGTGCCCCCTAAGCATACATCGCCCACAATAACCCACCCAAGTGCCAGTTTCTGCGCAAATGGAGCATTAACTGGGCCGTTAATGCATTCAAGCACCTTGTGAACTTGCACTATGTCGCTCCCCAATAGCAACATAATCTCGGCGTTGGTGTCGAGAGGGTGGATTTTACCTGCCAAGTGTCTAAGGTGTGGATGTGCGAGAGTAACATCTGGAGTTGCAATTTCGGATTTATTGTCAGGCAGTGCGTCACACTCGAGCAAACGAGGCAGTTCGGAGCTGAACTCACCATCAACTGACTGTATGATAAAGTTCTCAGCTACACGGCCATCTGTCATGTTAACCCCTGAACATGTTTTAAGCGTATACGGCGCTACGGAGCTTTCTGGAATGCCAAAGGTGTCAAAAAGGGCAGATCTAGCTAGTGACCTGTTGCTTTGGTCGTCTATGATCGCATAAACCTTGACCTTCTTGTCTGGCCGTCCCTGTGGATAAACGTAGGTGGGACATATTTTTGAACAGGAGCGACCCCCATTTAAGCTCCCACATATTTGAGTACAACCTGAGATAGTTTCGACGGTTAATGTGTCATTCTCCTCCTCCCCACCATGCTCCTCTCCGTGCTCTCCACCCTGGCTCATAGGTTTATGTTATATGTACTGTGCTGACCATGGAGCTGGACCTGCGTGTAACGCAGCGATATGTCTGTTGCTATTACACTCTGAACAAACTATTTCTACCTTACAATCTTTGGCTTGGTGGGAGGAAGAATCACAGCATCAGAAACAAATGTTTTGTTCTCTGACATATGCCTTGCGTTCGTCTAAAGCAGGGGTCCCCAACCTATTTTGCCCCACGGACCGGTTTAAATCAGACAATATTTTCAGGGACCGGCATTTAAGGTGTGGCAGATTAATACAACAAAATAATATGGTATGAGCTGCATGAAAACTGTGGTGTTTTCGAAATATAATAATAAACACAAGGAGCGTCTAATCTGGTCGCAACACTCTTATCGCTATGGTAATGTTTAATGCCTTCAAAATACGATACAACGCAAATTCAAAGTGCATGAAAATGATGACTCACCACAGCCCCGAGCTTGATTTGCTGCAATCAGACGGTCCCATCTCGGGGTAATAGGAGACAATGACACCTCAAGTGTGTGATTTATGTCTAGTCTACTTCGTAATTTTGTTTTAGTCGCCGTTGCTGCAGAAAACCCCCGCCTCACACAGGATGTCGGCAATAGCAACAGTGCTATTGTGGCGATCTCAGAGTATTCAGACAGAACTTTAATCCAGTTGTCTCGAACGTACTTTTAAGGCCGCCGTCATTTGCGATCTCCAAGCAGCTTTTTTACTCATTTTGCGGGCTTCAGCGTTTTGTTT